TGTTGATAAAAGGGACCTACATAATTTTTCACCATAATATTTCTTCAAAACACATTTATTTCATACAGTTTTTGTATTATATACGTTATTGTAACTTCATTTCCTATGAGTTCTAGATATTTTGGTTTAAATGTATATATAGAAACAAGACATGGATATACCGGCACCGATCATCATTTTTGAGTTGCGTCCCTTAACAGCTAAAATTGGTCAAGAGACTGGTTGATTGTTTTTATCATGTAATTGACTGAATTGATTGAAACACATTGTCATAAAATATTGGCATGGATTTATTTTTAACTTTTATTCGTAATTACTAAATGCTGATTCCTTCACACGACCTAAGAACTGTTCTCAGTCGGCATGGTCGACCTACCTGTCAGCATATGTCACATCTTTGCCCTTCCCAGCATACTGAGCATAAATGACGACCTGTTTGCTCTTTGTCCCTGAATACAATGCACAACAAAGCCATTACTACTTTTCTTTCTTGCTGTATAGATGATTCTACCCGTTGAAGGAAGTATACGTGCTTTTGTTTACCTCTATAACATACGCTTTATTGGTTTTCACCGCTTAGAGAATTCTACACGGGAGATCACTCTCAATCACTATTTTACAAGTGAAAAAACCCATGTATTAAACCTTTTTTCTCCGGAAAGCCCTGACTTGCCAATGTCCTTAACGAGGCCCAATCTAGTTGGAAATTACAAAAACGTACCGGCAAATACTTTTGAAATTTTAATATTTATTTGTTTGTACCATGCTAAGAAAAATTAGATCGAAATTTTGTTACTTTTCCTTGATTGTGTGGAATGGGGGCAATTTCAAAATATGGACACTTTTTCGTGGTTTTACACACAATTATATGCTAAAACTACATGAAAAACAATGGAATTGATAAAAAAAACTAAATGGTGAAATATTTTGCTTATCACATATATTATGTAATTATATCCATTCCTCATTTAAAAAATGAAAAAAGTGTGGATAACCTTTATTGTAGTGAAAAGGGAGCATATCAAAGCACAAAAATAGGACTTCAAATTATATTTAAGATACTTTATCAGGCGCAATAGGTTTACATAATAATTATCAAAAAAAAATTGTTGTATCTCAAAAATAAAGTATGTTACAAAGTTGTTTTTTAATCAAAACGTATTAATTTATTAAAACATAGTAATTGATAAAAATGCTAGAATGAACGAACTTTCAACACGCACAGTCAACATTTTAACTGTGACGTTATTGTATTCAATTGTGACGACAATCAAGGGTACTGTGACGCGTCTGAAACAACGCTGCGTGAAAACGTATGCGGAGATCAAGTAGATTGACCTCGTTAATTTGCTGCTTGAGGGCGTTTCGTTGATATCGCTGATGCAGAAAAGAATCAAATTGATTAAATATCGAATCTGGCATTTTATTTTGATTTAATCAATCTACTGAAAATTAAGGAATGTCTAACTTTACACTAAGCATCTTCTTTTCTTTAAAACTAGCGATACACTGGGTGTCAAATTTGTTCGGGTTCAGGTTGCTCAAAGTTCCACACTTGTCATTAGTCAGCCCGTGGGCTGACTAGACAGTTATCTTACAAAGAACTTCAACTGAGCTTGCATGTCCTGGAATTCTGGGAGGTAGACTGGTACCCTGAGATTGGTTCTAAGGAGCGCAAGGGATTCTGGGAGGTTGACGAAGAGTAGATTTCGTTTCAGTAAAATCAATATTGATTAAACAACGAAATCCCTATTTTAACACCATATACCAATAAAATCATGATAGTAAATACAGTTAAAAACAGTTAGGCGTTTGATGCTGAATTCTCTGGGAAAACTGCCTATATTGATTTTTTTTTTAGTTTGCATTTTCAATAGTTTTATAACCTGGTTCGCAGTAATTTAACTGATTCGCATATATTCATGAAACGTGTGTTATACGCAACGAAGCATAAAATTGTACAAATTCATTTTACTCAGTGTTTGGCGCATCAGTTGAAACTGTTTTGAAAAGTATCTAAAATGTATTTTCATGTATTTTCAATTCTGCAGCATAAATATTGGATTATTTCATATTTTGAAGCTTTTCAGTTTTTATTGATTTGACTTTCGTTTCCATTTCAAGCATTTCGATCCCGATGTTAATTACCAAATTAGCCAAGGCATGCAATGGATAGATCGGGAGAGACACAGTTGACTTCGCCTGCTACATTCTTTATTTATATTCAAATCCTTACTTGTCTATCATTAAGTTAGACTATTAGGCTGTGGAAATTCAGGTTGTAATTATATGGTTATAAGCATAAAAAGACTTGTAATAAATTAATTTTGTAAAAGTGTTTTATTTTCAAATTCTACTTAATTGCAGCCCGGAGGACCGCTTTATACATATAAGTTTAAGTTTTGGTGGATGGGATTGAAGTGGGAAAAGTTATTCAGAATTAAAGGTTAACTATACATTAAAAAGATCATACATCAGAATGTTCTTTCTTCTTTATTGGACTTTTGCGAGAAGCACTGACTTTTACACTCGACAGCTTACTTTGACATTTAAACATGTGTTATGTACGGAGGTTCGGAATTGATATTAAATTAGAAAACCTCACTAGAAGTCATAGGTATGGTGTGAGAGGCACTTACATAATTTACTTGTATGCAATCAACACAAGAGATGATGGGAGGTAGAATAACATAACTTAAAATACCTTGTTCGTGAGGGATAGTATTTCCTTTCAATCTCAATTTATGAAGGAATCAAATAATTCGGAATGAAAACTTGGCAGCAGTTGGTCAAATGGGAAAGAAGGGGGTTAGTATAGGGTGTTATCTCCTTCCCCTCCGTAGACAACGTTATATATACTTTGAATTATTATCGTTTATTTAATAGTTGAGCTAAATATTTATATCTCAAAAGAGCTGCCGTATATTGTCCCAGTGTAAAAGTAAGCCGTCGATTGTAAAAGTCAGCGCTTCTCGCAAAAGTCCATTAAGAAGATGGGTGAACATGACGAGCGAAAAGCCTATAGTGTGACAAACATGAAGGTGAAAAATTAAATTTTAATTATATCAAAAATTTCCTTGATATTTCATCTAACATTAAAATATACTTTATGTAAAATCTCTACAATTTTCAAAAATCTCACTAAGATTGAAATTATTTGCCTATGAAATATTATATACGCACTAAAGAGGGCAAAAAGAGTCATTTTCTCATACTGTAACATTATTTTTCGATATGAGTGGGTCTTCGCTCCATTTTTTGAAAGTTAATCCTCAAACTTTGCATAAAATATACATTTTTTGGTTTCCAAAAACATGGAGCAAAGACCCACTATACCTTAAAAATATACTTTTATGACATAGCATTTGCATCTTTTTGAGAAATACATGAAATCCATAAAGTCAAGGGTCATATCATAAGGATGATTTAAATGCCACTATTCATCAGGACTTGTGTAGTCTAGTGGTTAGCGTGCTAGTCTCGAAAGAAAATGATACTCATAATTTTTATTGCTAGAGTTCGAACCCCACGAACGCCACATTATTATTTTAATAAAAGAATAAATTTTGCCGAGAAAATTTTCCTCAGAAAAGTTTTGTTTATTATAATTTCATGAATTTCAATTATGAGAACTTTACTCTAAATACTAAATTCACAAATTGAAATGATTTTTATATATCTGAATCTGTAGGCTTTCTGCACGCTATGTTCACCCATCTCCTTAGGAGATTTATTTACTTCCATGAAGAATATCTTTAAAAATATATGTTTTTCATATGTAATATACAAAGCTGCTAATCATTTACTATCGAGACAACGACAGGTCCCTTTTTTGGAACATTGAATTTTACTTATCGCGTAAAAACGTACGTTACAGTTTGTGTTTTATATTCATTAAGTCAAATATTTTTTATGATAGGTGATACATATGTCTGATTCTAATTTATATTTTATGCAGCCAATAAAAAATATAAAATGACGTCACAATATGTGTATATTTTCCTTGTATTTTCAATGATACTAAGTTCATTAACTTCCGTTAAACGGTTAATAATTTATCAAACAATTCTCGCTCAAGCTCAGATCACGCTCTTAATATTCAAATTGCAATTTTTGCTGCTATTGTATGCCTTTCTTCAGGAGAGAATACCATCAGTTACCCTCTGAGTCTGAGTAACTTTAAAATAAAATGACAAAATTTGTCGGAATACACATCTGGTGCATCAAAATTGGTACCGTATGTGATTTACATTACGACACCTGGGTCGTGGCCTCTGCTGGTGGATTGTTAGTTCCCGAGGGTCTCTACAGCACAGTAGCTATGTACTTCGGTACCAGCTTGAAAATACAGATATATATTTAATTGCTGTGGTGAAATTTATAAATTTATTTCAAAATTAAGGATTGTCTCCCTCATGCATAGCTCTGTTCCTTCGACGTATTTGGCTCCAGTCATTGGCATCCCCTTTTTTCAGTTCTTCCAAGTTTTTTGTTCAAATACTTCGGATTTCCAACGTTTCGGCATGAGCATCACTGAAGAGACATAATTTGTCGAAATGCGCATCTGGTGCATCAAAATTGGTACCGTATATGATTTATATATATATATATATATATATATATATATATATATATATATATATATATATATATATATATATATATATATATATATATATATAGTTATACAAGAGGCGTGTTATGGGATATTTGGCGTATCTCAGACTCACGTTGTGGGATCCTTAGGTGGTTTATGGGTCATCTATATTTTGACCCATAAACCATGTAGTCTAAACTTCACAGAAATGTTGGAAATGCTATTCCTACCATAAAAAACAAAAAAAATAATTTTTTTGACCCTTAAGGATATATAGAAAAATGTCCCACAACGCAAAATCTATTTTTAGAACAGTCGGTCTAAGTCCCTCGCTTTCAACATTTTGTGTATCTATATATAAATGTCAATTGGAATATCCCACAATACGGTGTAGCGATACACGCAATGCATTGTGGGAGGACAATGGCGGCGTTTAGCAGGGGTAAAGAGCTGTAAGACAGTAAGTATCTTGTTATTATTAGTAGAGCAATTGAATATAACACATATTTATGATAATTAGACGAGAGAACGAGGAACTTTCGAACTTGTTTGATCGTAAGCACAGTTTAAGGTTGGTCGCGGGTTTACTGCATAAAAATTCTTACGGGAAAACATGTTCAGAAAAAATTGATGTAATGTTCCTTAGAATTTGCGGCATATTATCTGAAACTTTTATTAAATTTGCCTACGTGAAGATAAGTAGCTTATCTTCTCTAGTATTATGAAATTCATAATTCTGCCCACAAAGTCAGAATGAACGGTATATTGATATAAACATTCTTCGTGCATTAGAATTAATATGCAGTAACTAGTGATGGGAATCGGTAAGAATTTCATAATCGATGATCGGGCTACTTTAACTAACTAATTATCAATTATAATCGGACATTTACAAAGTCTGTCAATTTAGTTTATCAAATGGTAAGAATGGATGAATAACCACTTTCTGTGGTGGTCCAGCTGTAGTTAGAATAATCTAACTGTGTTTCGGGACAAGCCCTAGTCCTTAGGACAATATTTTAACGATAGAACGTTCGATCTAGTCCAGCTGGTTCTTCATTCATTTTGTAGAATCCAAAGTATGTCCATACCCGGGAATTAGCGTTGTTACCCGGGTATGAATACAATGTCTGTTCATCTACGCCATTACGATACACAAATAAGTTAATAGAAAAGTCGCGGCTGGAATATTTGGCTTGAAAACTATTACGCTTGTAAAATAAAATAAATAACCCGATTAATCGGAATAGAAATTTTGTAATCGAGCGCTTGGATTATGCCAACAATCGACTGATTTTCGATTATAATCGATGATTGGAACACCACTAGCAGTGACACTGCGATAGATAATATAATACAAGTAATGTTAGGATGTTCAAGTTCATTATTAAGAACTCAAGTATAACACGGTAAAGGAAAAAAAAAAGTCCACCATTGAATGTTCTTTTTAAGTCAATCGCAATTCAGTATATAGTCAGAACTCTCAAACATTTGTTCTTTCTTGTTTTTTTTTTCTTTATTAATTTTTCATCATTAAAAAATGTAAAATACTTGCATTCAGCTTAAACACAGATAGCTTAATTTTGTTATAGAAAAAATTGTACTTGAAGTCTTGATACTTGTATTTCGTAATACGTGTACAGTATATTAATATCTGTTTAGAGTGCCATAAAGGTCCGATATGCTGGGTGTTTGTATGAATTCATTTTAAGGGGATGAAGGACACATGGTCACATGACTGTTTAACTACATCATAGTCTCCGTTTATATAAGTGCAATATGTGTAAAGCATTAATTCTTGTATAATTTTTTGACAATTTTTTAACTTTAATTACCATCTTATATAAAAAAATTAAAAAGTTTTTACGTTCTTGTAAACATTAACAAATTATGAAAAAGATTGATCCACTCCTCTGTTTCCCTAAACTGCGTGTCCAACAAGTCGGTGACGTCATACATGATCTGTTAGTACAGCAAGATCATACTCGGTGAACACAGGGGTGGTATTACAGTGGTTCCCGTTTTATCGAATAGTCAAGTTGTCAGCATAGTTTTATCCGAATAGCCGAAAATTAGAATAGCCGATTGCTCCATACCGAGTCCAAAGATAGATGTATAGAGCTACATGTATTGATAATACATCGTAGCTAGCAAATTTCAAGCTTGCACTTTTGTTTTCTTTTGACATGTTTACTTAATGACTTTACTAAAAATAATTTATTTCACTTACTTATGAATTTAATATGAAATTTTTTATCAAATAAATTGACGTATAGAGTATATTCTTTGATAGTTATTGCCATCTTTCTTCAGCACATGTTTACATTCCTTCTTCGATGGTCGCCATTTTGGAAAAGGAAGTAGACTAAATGCTTGACTAATAACCGTAAACTATTTTTCCCTGGATAGATTGTAAATTGAAAATAAACAAAAATATTAAATATATGTAATTGTTTCCTTTGGATTTGTTTCTTTAATACGGTTATGTATTTTATACTGTGTGTGAGTTTACCAGTCTCGTTCTTGTCTGCTGAAGAGAGATTTTGAGAGCCATGTCGAGAAAGTTGGTATGAATTTTGAGACATATTTTTATAGAACGAGCCATTTGTGATTTTTACCATAAATTTTGCACTGAAAAGTGAATAAATATTAAGCCAATTTACCAAGTTAAACGATTGAATAGGGTTATTTCATTATCCAAGCAAATTGTCATACACAAGCTAATCAGTTCAATAATTAAAATTTCACGCCGAAAAAATTGCAGATAACTGTCATAATTAACAAGTGCATCATTGAACCCAAGCTGATCACCACAACTGTAATCAAAACATATCTATTTACTATGCCCACTATTGACACAGGTAAGGTGCCTGTGTGCGTCCAGGCGTAACTAATCCCCTCATTGTCGTACTCAAGCCAGTCAAGGTAATTGGTGTCAAACTGTGTAAACAAAGGCTTCACATACGAAGGTGGAGCAGGGCTCGATATTAATTTTTTCCCCTTACTTGTCCAATCGGGCAAGTGACCAAGACATTTACTTGTCCGAACTTCAACTTCACTGGTCCGAAATTTGTTCAATAAAGATACAATACTGTCAACTTGAAAACTAATATAAAGTCCATTACATGTGATTCATTCGTGATGTTATTGATAAATACAACAAACACATAAAAACAAACTTTTATCTAGACTTTCTATCCTGACAACAACATAAATGTTCACAATTATCAAAAAGAACCTAAACTTCGTAACTTGACGTAACTTCATGCCCTCCTTTGCAGTAGTATGCAATTAGTGAACTTCGATCCCGATCAAGTGTGAACTCAATTACATAGCGATCCATATCGGGATCGAAGTTCGTTTTTTTATGTACTGCTTACGTCTTTACCGATGAACTTTCAATAGTCGTTCTTTTTATTATTTGAAGACTTCTTTATATTAAAATGCACTTGTCCAATCGGACAAGTGCCCAGCAATATTCACTTGTCCGTAATTTTTTTTCGCTGGTACCGGACAAGCGTTAATGTCGAGCTCTGTGGAGGTGTGAACAAAGTGCTGATTATCAAAAAACACTATGATAGTCCAAATTTTTGTATGGGATAAAACAAAATTCCAGTATTTTTTCATCAGAATATCAGGTGAAATTATTAATAAATATATAAGAAATGGTTTTGTGCTCTGATATTATATTGAAATAGCCGAAATATTCGTTAAACCGCTATCCGATTAAATGGAAGCCACTGTATTATGTAAAAGCAGTTCATAATCAGTATATGATGAAATATTTTGAGAAATGGGGAACACAAAAATTATTTTTGCATGGCTGATGACGGAAATCATATGTAGGTATATCTTATTTCGCTTATTTAGCTTACCTGTGACATCATAGTTGGTTTTTCTCGTAGTCGAGAAATGTAACATGACACATTTTTGTCATGCTTATGTCCTCTTTAACGATGTCCTGTGAAATAATGAGGTCAGCTTCATCATTTGAAATTTTTACAGTTATTCAATAATTTGAAGGATTTGCATTTCAACGTAAATTAAAAAATATTGAATGATAGAATTTTTTGTAAATTACGTTTTTTATTGTTTAAGTTGTCTTAAAAAGTGCGTAATTTTCCCTATCCAGATGCAGTGTGATAGACAAAACTTGCTTTTTTGAATTTTAAATCCTAGTTATACTCTGAAATAATTTAAAAGATACATGTCCACTTTGATATTTTTTACATATGCTTAAAAAATCCCATTAAGGACAGAGTAATTAGCCAGGAAACATGGAGAATTAAAACTCCACTTAGATACAGTAGGGCATAGTAATTGTCAATCAATATCTCCAAAATAAGGTAAGAAACCTAATGATATAACTGCTTTAAGATATGTGGGACATACTTAATTAGAAATATACAAAATATGAAAAAAATTGAATGACAAGTATTTTTTCAGCTCAAGGTCCTTCTCCTCCTTATTATAACATGTTTAACATGCATTTCACTGATAAATCAATTCCTTGCTAGCCTGCTTATAAATAGAGAACAACTTTATTAGATTCAAATACAAATATTTTTTTAAAAAAGAGGAAAATTCATTTAATTAAATTTCATCCATTTTTAGTGTTTAGGGTTGATGTTATCCTTAAAATAACAAATGTGTTGTTTTTTTTTGGCTGTGATGAGCAAACATGGTGCATTACACACCTTCTCTTCATTGCAAATTTATGTGCATACATACAGCCTTTCAATTTTTCAATGTAGCAATTTACTGAAACCGTTACTTTCATTTTGCATGCCATATTTTTAACACTGAATCAATTTGATTGACCTTTAGTAGTTTAGTATCATTTTCAATATAAAATGAATTCCATGCATTTTGCATCACATTTATTATGTTTTATAAGTTTGTTCTTATACATTACACATATAATCAGAGCAGAATTAACTTATAATCCTCTAGGTTCATACATACAGTGTGCGAAACTAATCTGGAGAATGAAATAGCCCATTTGACTATCTCATTTGAAATTGGGATAGACCGTAGACAAATAGGAATGTCCAAAGAAAGTAAATTAGGAAAAAATGTGCTCTTGTTATTGTTAAATTTTTTAAAATTTATTCATTTATATTCTTATTGAAGTATCTGCTATATATTTTCATGATTATCTAGTGAAAATTAAATATAATCATGCAGTGTTCATGCATTTCACACCCCAAAAAACTGTGCAATTATTCAGACTCGTCGTATATAAACTTCACTCTGCAGACCAGCTAATATTTGTGAAAGACACAAACTCTAATTTCATCTTTATAGCTTTCCCTTTTCTCGGATTCATTATTTTATTTTCAATTTTTTTGGTTGTCTTTTTGTTGATTCAATTTGTGTTTTAATGCAGTGCTTCCTGCAGTCAGGATTTGTAGCATGCCTGATATACATAAACAGCAAGCATTGGGTAAAAATTGTACA